CAAAAAACTAGCCGGGCCAGGTGGCAGGCGCCTGTAGTCCCAGCTACTCAGGAGGCTGAGGCAGGGGAATGGCATGAACCCAGGAGGCGGAGCTTGCAGTGAGCTGAGATAGAGCCACTGCACTCCAGCCTAGGCGACAGAGTGAGACTCCGTCTCAAAAAAAAAAGAAAACGTTTCTTTAATTTTCATGATTAAATTCAGTTTACTAAATATGCACAATTTTCTGAAACCATGTACCTTTACAGTAAATATATTAGATTATACATAAATGACTTCTTGGAATAAGATAAAAACAAAAAGATGGAGTTAGACCTAAATAAATCAAGTTAGTTTAAGAGAAAACCAATCCAAATAAGAAAAGTCTGAATTTTAACATTTCTGCAGAAGTGACACTTTGCTACTTTAAGCATATAAAGTAGCTAGAAAAAGGATTACACTGTAGCCTATAAGCATTTCTGAGGAGAAATAACTAAAAGAAAGTAGAGAATAACAACAGTTAACATTTCTAGGCATAGTTCTGAAAACTTTGTATGAATTTATCATTTAATTCTGGAACCCTCTGGGGAAGTGGTATGAGCCCCATTTTGCAGATAAAGAGCTCAAAGCACAGAAAGGGTGAGTAACTTGCCCAAGGTCTCACAGACCAAAGGCAGAGGAGCAGCAGGCAAACCTGTGGGTCTGACTGTGGAGCCAGACTCTTAACCACACATATGTTGTCTTTCCACCAGACAAGAAGCATTTGTCAGGAAATGAGTTTTGGGGAGCAGTTAATGGTACTATTATCCTCTTGCTCCCAATATGTGCTGAACAAATCATGTAACAGTACAAAAACTACTCATAGAAAGTGCGATAAGCATTCCCCATTTATAAACAACGTCACCCCCTGCCACCCTGGGGATTACGGTAGCCTAACAACCTACAATGCAGTAAATGATAAGCTCCCAGTAAATGATAAGGTCCTCTGACCACCTCTTTAGGGCAGGAGGGGCTTACTTCTCTCAGAGCTCTGGACACTGTATCTGTTTACTTGTCAGCCTTCCTCACCAGACCACAGGCTCTTTGACACCAGGGAATATGAAATACATATCTTTTTGCCTGCAAGTACAAGTAGTTTATTTGGAAGCAATCCCAGATAATAGTAGTTGGGGAAGGAGAAGTAAAACAGCAAAAGAAAGGACAGTTAATATGTATTAAGTGTGTTACCGGGCCAGTTACCAGTATGGGTGATAGACTTACTGATTCTACGAGTCAGGCACTCTATTAAGCACTGGGGAAATGTGATGAAACGAGACAGAGAAGGGTCTCAGTTCTCAAGGGGTGAAGAGGCAGGGGAAACAGATAAGCAAGCAAGCTTAAGAAGGTTACTTAGTGATCAGAGGTATGGAGGAATAAAGAAATACAAAGTATTTGGGGCTGAGTGCAGTGGCTCATGCCTGTAATCCCAGCATTTTGGGAGGCCAAGGCGAGTGGACTGCCTGAGATCAGGAGTTTGAGACCAGCGTGGCCAACACGGTGAAACCCTGTCTCTACTAAAAATACAAAAATATTAGCAGGTATGGTGGCAGGCACCTGTAATCCCAGCTACATGGGAGGCGGAGGTAAGAGAATCGCTTGAATCCAGGAGGTGGAGGTTGCAGTGAGTCAATAGCGCACCACTGCACTCCAGGCTGGGCGACAGCGAGACTCAAACTCAAAAAAAAAAAAGAAAGAAAAAGAAAGTATTTGGGATAGGGGCTACCTCGTGCTCAGGGAGGCCTGTCTGAGGAAACTTGAGCTGAGATCTGAACGGTAAAAGGGAGCACACGAGGTGAAAAGCCACGGAAGAGCATTCCAGGCAACCTGAGGCAGAAACTGATTGGAGTAGTCAGGAAACTGAAGGAGAGCCAGAGCAGTCACGATGCTGAGAGGGAAGGGGAAAGTAAAGAGAAAGAGGTCAGGGAAGATCATCGGGCCGGGTTATACAGGCACTGAAGCCATGGTAAGCTCAGACTCCTCTGTAAGTTCCAAAGGGTTTGGGCAGAAAAGTGCTGGGATTTGATTAATATTCTTAGGGGCTTCCCCGGATGCTGCCTGAAGAACAGATGTAGGGAGACAGGAGTTAAGTCAAGAAGAAAACTGAAGCTAGTGCAGATTTGGTGAGCAGATTTGGTAGAGGTTTGGTGCTTAGACTCCACGGGTAGCAGTGGCCGTGCAATAAGTGAACAAGTTCCAAACATAGCAAGGAAGAAGGACTGACCGGATCTGCTGAGGGACTGGGGTGAAGGGCACGGAGGAATCAAGGACACTACTGGATTTTGGGCTTGGCCAACTAGGTGAGTAACTTCCTTACAACAGCTTCCTTAGAGACTAGACCTTAGGAGGCATTCAGTAAATTTTCACTGAATTAATCAATTGTTACTTCACTCTGATTTAACGAACAATACCAGTCAGGGACCCAGCAGAAAGCAAAGAACACGTTCGAATTGAGTAGTCTGAGAAGAGTTTAACAAAAGATCACTTTACAAAAGTAGGGGAAAGGAGAGAGAAGTCGTAAGAGACAACATAGTCCCCCGCACTGGTAACAGTGGGAACCTTTCACCTGGGGCCGACAAACACTTGCTCCTAGTGACCGAACCCGCTGAAGGAGTGCAGAAAGGGCAACCTGACAGAAGCTGTGACCCTACAGCCAGCTCCCCAGGACCTCCAAGGAATCCACACTCCACCTTATTCTCCCTGGCCCTTGGGATTTCCTGCCAGTGACTCCCATTGGCCAATCACAAGTCAGAGGGCAAGGGACCCACTGGTGCAGCCTTTATCAGTTAACTTCCCAGATCTGGAGGGGTAAAAAGAGCATAAGGCAGCACATGAACTCTACATGAACAAGGACTTACTGCACTTAAAAATTATACTATTTCGCAGAAAAAGGATCCCTGTCAGAAAAAGCCAAATTACCTTACAGATACATCAAGTTCTTCTTTTTCCATTTTTCTTTCACCCTCATCTCTACTGGTCAGTTCCATATCAGCATCCTCCACTGTCTTTTTCTCACCATTCTGGAAGTACTGCTGAAGGGCAGTGTACAGTTTAAACACTTGGCTGAAAGAAAGCTTACTGTAGGCCAAGATCATGTGACGCAGAAACAAACCTACAAAATAAGACCAGAGACAAGGGGAAAGCATTAACTGACATCCAGGCTACACAACGGCAACTCCACAACGGCAACAACTGTTTGCTGCAATTCTTCCTTCAGAAGAATAAGAAAGAGACACTTGCAGTTGCCATTCCCTCCTCCTGGAATGTTCTTCCCCAGTCCTTTACAAAGCTGGTTTCTTCTTATACAGGGCTCAATCTACCCACCCCACCTCCACCTGAAGGCTTCCATTTTACTTTCTTCATGGCTGTTACATTATCTGAAATGATATTTATGTGTTTACTTTTACCAACTGGCTACCCCAAACAGAGGTAATCTCCATAAGAGGAAATTCCATGTCTATCTTACACGTCCAGAGCCTGGCACATAGGAAGAGATAGAGAAACAGCTCACGCTGAATAACATAAAAATTACCATGCAAAAAAGCCAGAGGGATAGAGCATGGGATAAAGCTAATAGAAAAGCATCAAAGAAACACCATGTATGCCCTCACTTTGCATACTGTATCAGTAATGTATTTTTACTTACCTCTCTTCGTAAGTCTGGGCTGGTGACCCTCACTCACAGATGGACCATGCAGGCAAGTGATCCAGAAGACTGTGAGAGAAAGAGCTGGGAACCCCCAAAAACCCCAGGACCAGGCTCTGACTCTTACTATTGTAGACAAAACAGAAGGTGCTTTTCCATAGTTAATGATTTAAATATAGATCAAAACAGCAAGGCAATAAATACAAACTGCAACACCTCCAACATCCCCACTGAGTCTGTTCACAGATCTAGCAGAGCAACGACAGACATGACTTTAGAAAGCTGCTCACTTCAATGAAAATACTCTCTGCTCTTCTTAGAAGAGTTTCATACCTACTACACTTGTTTTGTGAACCTCTGGCTCAGTTCCAGAGAAAGAATCTGAAAGGTCATCAAAAAATTGTTCCATATCCTTCAACTCGCCTTCAGCCATCAGTTTGATTCTGAATGAGAAAATCGAGGTGCATATTTTAGAAAGGCCCTTTGAACAACTTCTCTCGTTTCATATTCCTCAATTATCTCGAATAATGTAGTTTACAGGCAATTCAGAGATTTGTATAAAATGGTGGCTCATAAAACAAACTTCATGATTCAAAATGTTACTCCCATATTTAGGAAAAGTATCATTGTTGTTTTCTTGATCATAAAATTTGTCAAACTATCACATCAACCAGTAAAAATGCAATTATCCGCAGTGACTGAAAAGAATAAGATGGGTAAAGAACTATAAAATTTGGGGAAAAAAGCTACGAAACAGTATGTTTAATGTTATCAATTTTTCAGCCAAGTGCGGTGGCTCACACTTGCAATCCCAGCACTTTGCGAGGTAGATGCGGACGGATTGCTTAAGCCCAGGAGTTCAAGACCAGCCTAGGCAACACAGCAAAACCCCATCTCTACTAAAACTACAAAAAATTAGCCAGGTTTGGTGGTGTATGCTTGTAGTCCCAGCTACTCGGGAGTCTGAGGTGGGAAGATCACCTGAGGTCAGGAAGTCCAGGCTGCGGTAAGCCCTGATTGTGCCACTGTACTCCAGCCTGGGCAACAGAGTGAAACCCTGTCTCCAAAAAAAAAAGCTATCCATTTTTCAACAACAACAAAAAAACCTAAGTAAAAGTTCTTGGGAAAACAACCTAGAATAATAAAGGTATCTTTTTAAAAGAATTAACTACCACATACCCTTTTGTGATTTTCGTCTACCTTGACACCTTTTCATATATAAAGAAGAAAATGAAGTTTACCTGATCTGCACTGAATTTGCCAGTTGTGGACAAGATTCTTCAATTAACTTGTAAAGTTTTGACAGTGTAATATCTGGGCCCTGTGTAAAGGGGAGATAGGGAGGTATGGATACATTTTAAAGAGCTGGAGACTGATAAAGAATTGCAAACATAAATTCATTTATCAACCCCTCTGCTTTAATAATCACTCCAAATATGCAAATAAGGATTTTTCTATGTACCTAAAACACTAAAGTAATATTTCACATTTGCATACCATTTTTGTCTAGTCAGTGGAATGGTTTAAAATAGAAAAAAAACACAGGATTTATAGTCTGAGGATCCACTGTTCCTTCCTTCTTAATTTTGTAACCATGGCGAAATTGTGACCTCTGAGTCCTAGTTTCCTTCATCAACAAAATGGAGATAATAATATCTCCTTTGTTTTTGGCAAAGATTAAATAAGATAATACGAAGTGCTTTGTAAACTGGAAAACACTAAACAAATACTATTTTTCACAAACATAATCTCATTTGATCTTCTCCCAAACCTTGTAACATAGGCAGACATACTATGCGCTGAAGTCTATAAAGAGTACCACGAGAGGCCAGGTGCAGTGACTCACGCCTATAATCTCAACATTTTGGGAGGCCAAAGCGGGTGGATCACCTGAGGTCAGGAGTTCAAGACCAGCCTGGACAACATGGCAAAACCCCGTCTCTACTAAAAACACAAAAATTAGCCAGGTATGGTGGCACACACCTGTAGTCCCAGCTACTACTCGGGAGGCTTAGGCAGGAGAATGGCTTGAACCTGGGAGAAAGAAGTTGCAGTGAGCCAAGATCATACCACTGCACTCCAACCTGGGCAACAGAGCAAGACTCCGCCTCCAAAAAAAAAAAAAAAAAGAGTACCATGAGGAACAAGAGTATGCAACCTCAGCTACCAAGAAGATTACAGTCTAGTTGAGATTTAAAACTAAATACAGAATCTTTTTCAGAGAATAAGGTGACTGCATATATGCCAACTTTAGATGCGGATAACCCAGCAATTGCACTTCTAGGGGAGTTATTTTGGCATGCATTGTTTGAAATGAAGAAAAACTGAAAAGAGCCTGTAAGTCCAATAGAGACTTAATTTATAATACAGAGTTGAATTATGTTGCTTTTCTTACTGTGAAATATAATGCAGCCATTAAAAAGACCATTCAGGGCCTGGCGCAGTGGCTCATGCCTATAATACCAGCGCCTTGTGAGGCTGAAGCAGGCAGATTACTAGAGGTCAGGAGTTCAAGACCAGCCTGGCCAACATGGTGAAACTCCATGCCCAGGCTGCTCTTGAACTACTAGGCTCAAGTGATCCTCCTACCTCAGCCTCCCAAAGTCTAGGCACCCAGCCAAAAATTAACAAATTTAAGAAGTCAAACAGTTAGTAAAGGAGTTGAGGTCTGGCTGGAATGCTACTACATGAACTCTACATACATTTTGATTAAAACTGTACAGCAGGGGGCCAGGTGTGGTGGCTCATGCCTATAATCTCAGCACTTTGGGAAGCTGAGGCAGGTGGATCCCTTGAGCCCAGGAGTTCAGGACTAGCCTGAGCAACATAGGGAGACCTCATCTCTACTAAAATTTAAAAATTAGCCAGGCATGGTGGCAGATGCCTGTAGTCCCAGCTACTTAGGAGACTGAGGTAGGAGGACAGCTTGAGCCCGGGAAGTGGAGGCCATGATAAGCTATGATCACGCCACGGCACTCCAGCCCAGATGACTGAGGGAGTGAGATCTCACCACTCTAAAAAAAATTTAAAAAACACAGGCCGGGCGCGGTGGCTCAAGCCTGTAATCCCAGCACTTTGGGAGGCCAAGGCAGGCGGATCACGAGGTCAGGAGATCGAGACCATCCTGGCT